TGGGAGCTATACCAAATCATGGACCCATACATGCAATGTTTCACCACCGGAGCTGGAAACCATTATGACCTACAAATACCAATTTTCATACAAATCCGTAAAAAATGTGGCATAAATCATCAAAATACCGAATATCGGGAGGTATCGTTATATGGGGACTATACCAGAACGTGGACCGATATATCATTTTCAATACCAACCATCCTAGACACAATACCAATTGCTCTGCTAAATTTTGGCGCTCTACGTCAAATAATGTGGGCTGTATCGTGATTTCAACAGACAGACGGACAGACAGACAGATGGACATCGTTAAATCGACTTAGAATTTTATGCTGATTATGAATATATATACTTTATGGGGTCTACGACGAATATTTAAGGATGTTACAAACGGAATGACAAAGTTAATATTTCAAGGTGGAGGGTATAAAAACTGCAACAAACTCAAACGCCATAATTTTTACATTTTTTTTTTTAATTTTATTGAATGAAAGCAACAAATATATAGAAATATATATGGAAATAGCATCAAATTTTAGAATAAGTTTAGTTTTGTTCGAATCATCTTTGGCACGACGCTGCCCGAGTGTTGCTCTGCGGTATTTTGGCCCATTCCCGGCGAAGCGCTTGCCTGAGGTGATCGACACTTTGGTATTTTTGTGCCAACCTTGCTTTCCAAAATACTTGACACAATAGTCCAACGGATTGGTATCCGGAGATTTTGGTGGCCCTTGTGCGCTGAAAATGAAGCGAGGATCCTCATTTTGTAACCATTCTTGGGTGGCGCGTGCTGAGTCCTGTTGGAATGTCCGACGTCTACGGCCAAAACGCTTGCGTGCCCATGGCTTTAATACACCCTCCAGAATATTTTCGCGACAATATTCGGCATTTATTCTGATGCCACGGTCGATTAATACGAGCGGAGAGCGACCATTGGCTGTTATAGCCCACACCATCACTATGGCCGGCGCTTGAGATCTGGTGGCCAACCGAAGGTGCACATTTTCAACTGACCTCTTTGGCAAGTAAACACGATCATTTTGTTTGTTTACAAACTTCTGGACAACGAATGTTTTCTCATCGGAGAAAACCAAATAAGTGTAAGTTCTTGCACTTTTTAGAATTTCAATGGCTTTAACCCGAGCTCATTTTTCAATATTTTTAGATTAGATTTTTATATGTTTTCTTATGCGACGTCATTCGGAGGTTATTATAATTCGCTTTTTCAACAATTTTTACAAATTTAAATAATTTTTCATTAAACATTTTACATTCCAAAATTGGTTTGACAGTTCATTGCCCCAGCAGCTGTGTCGATGCGTCTACCTATATTCTTCTACCATGGTCTCACCCGTATTGTCAAATATATTTTAATTGACATATATGAAAGTTAACTTATTTTATGGCAGAATTTACTTTTTTCCATAGTAGAATTGAGGATGTAAAATCATGGAATTACCAATTTTCAGAGATGAATACATTTAACTATTAAAATTAAAAAATAATGCATGTTATGTTCCCGAACTTTTTATAGGTTAAACTATGATAAATGTAACTTTTTTCTCAAAGTATACACGTCAAAACGATAGATCAATCATCGCTGTAAAAGACTCCTTTCTAAAAGACTTTGGTAAAATTGTTCTCTCTGAGAGAATTTCTTTATTATTTTTAATAGACACACAAAAACTTGTTAATTTAGGAACGATTGAAATTACTATGCAGTCCATATGGTTTGCATGAAAGTTTTATCTTACCCTTAAATGGCAGACATTTAGCGAACCTTTCTAGGTTCTCAGCATGAATTGAAAGATAGCTTTCTATTGTGAAAGATTGATGGTTTAGTTAAAATACCTTAAAGCGCACCATCATATTGGGTCTATAGCATATCATGGACGTATATTGGCAATTGTATAAACGCCAGGTTATGTATGTGTGTGATTGAAAAGAATATCACTTTTCCATCCCTTAACTGTCAAATTTTAAACATTCCCTTCAAAAAATTCAGTTTCTAATCGGCAAATTAAAGTTTCTTTAGTCCGTAATCCGACGGAGGAAGTTTAGGTATAAGGAATATGAATGGAGAAGAAGGGAATTAATTGAGACTAATGTAGCTTTTTCTTCGGCATTCTCCCCTGGAAACTAATTTTCTTTCTCTTTCTTTCCAAGTTATTTCCAATCTTGCATACCCACAGTGTATTTTTTTATTTTATATATACTACACAATTTCAATAATGAAAATAAGTGATGGCTTTCGTAAAATATTCTGTAATCGACATATATTGGATTTATTCTTTTTTAATCATTTTATGATTTGAAAAAAAAAGAAATAAATTTCTATTTTATAGAAATAACTGATAACATTAGTCTAGTATTCCTTGATAAACCTTGTAATCTTTTATTTTCATGCTTCAAAATTGGCGATGTATTTACCAAGTAATATAAGAATACGTGAAGCTCTGTGGGAACATAAATTACATTTTTGTTTAACTTATTTATATACATTTATACAACTTTTGTTTATATCTATTAAAGCGCAACAGAACATGGCACTGGGAACTATAATTCCAAACACTTTTTGAACATCTCATCATAGCCATATTTAATTATAGAAACTGTGTTAGATTATGTACAGCGAATATTTTGAATGAGAACTGTTTTCATAACAAAACACGCTGCCTAACATAAATACTCTAAGCGAATGGATATGTGTGCACATACACACAGAAGTATATATTGTGAGATTGAATATTTTTTATACCTATCAAAAAACAAACAAAAAAACAAGAAAGCACCATAACAATTCAAGTTTGTATTTTTTCATTTGTAGTTTTGTTCAATTTTCTAATATTTTATTTTTTATTTAATAAAAATGGCTATTGAACTTGTTCGAGAAAATGTTACCTTATTTGGCATTAATGCCTAACATGTCCATGTGCATTGGTGCAACGAACAAACTTGGTTTCACATGAACGGGAAATTGTCTCAAGTGTCACTTGACTACAGAATTAGTTTCGAGCCGGGAATATTGTTGAGTCATTACCGTGTTAATTCAGAAAAATGTACTATATTGATTAAAACAAGTATTCCCTTTATATCATACTACGGAGGGGATGTTAAAGGTGTAAGTACATAAGAAGCTTGAAGTCATGGCTAGGCATATTTTGTGACATTTCATAAAGGGATTACAGAGCCGCACTAAAATCCTGCCGTCATTTTCCATGATAATTTGACATTAATATGCCTATGCATGAATTTAAGCTTTTTATGTACTTGCACCTTTGTCATTCAGTTTGTAACTCCTCGAAATATGGGCGAATATTTTGCTGGCTTAAGTCATCGGCTGGCTTCTTCGCAGAGGAACAAAGGAGTTTTATGTTGACTTAGTTCGGAAATGGAAGAAGCCAGCCGATGACTTAAGCCAAACAAATAAGCGCTTTATGTATTCCCACCTTAACAATTGTGTTTATTGTTGCTATTTGCCCGTCCTTTTTTATTGATTATTAATAAAAAACATTTTTCGAGTTTTAGATCATCGTCGTCGAATGTAAATATTGCACTTAGTATAACATTTCATCTGTCGTCTGTGCACAAGACCCCAAAAGGAAGAAACAATTTTGGGCTCAAAAATGTATTACATTGAACATATCAATTGTGTGAACACTGCATTTTATGTTTAAACCACTTAATTGGTAGCATGGTAAAAGAATACAGGTAGTCGCGTCAAACCAATGAACTGTCAAGCCGATTTTGGAATTGAAAATGTTGAATGAAAAATTATTAAAATATGTAAAAATTGTTGAAAAATTCATATTATAACAACCTCTGATTTGCGTCGTATAAAAAAAATTAAAACCCACTTATTTTTCATTGAACATTTTAAAAATTTTGACATATCAATGTTCCCAAGCGTTGATGCATCTATATGAAACATGCATATCATAACAACCTCCGCTTAGCGTCGTATAGGAAAACATATAGAAATCTACTTCTTTTTGAAGAGATATTTTAAACTTTTTGACATATCAATGTCCCCAAGCTTGATTCATCTACCTGTATTCTTCTACCATGGTATGTTGTTATGATATCATCATGATAAAATTATATAGGTGGGCACATCAACACAGCTGCTGATACAATGAACTGTCGAAACATATTTGGAAATCTAAATTCTAAATGAAAAATTATTTAAATTGGTGAAATTTGTTGAAACCACACCTCTGAACGGCATCGTATAAGAAAATATTTTTAAATCCATTTATTTGTGACATATCAATGTTCGCGAGTGTTATTGTATCCATCATGGATATCATAACAATAGAAGTAAATCCACCTAGTGTCAATATTTTGAGTCTGACTTGTCCTATCTTTATACTTCTATGTCTCTGCTACTTTTTACTTTATTTACTTTTAACCAAAACACATTGTACAATGAAATCAAGGTTAATTATTTTTCAGGTAATACCAAGGCCTTTTAAAAAGGTCAGACAGGAGACGAATTTGGGCGAAATAAGTCTTGCTGTCATTCGAAAAAGAAGAAAATACTAAAATATGTTACAAAAAAATTTCAATTTCGATGCCGCGAACGAATTTTTTTTTTTCAAAAGATAAATACTCTTTGCATAATTTTTTAATAAAAAGTTGTCTCTTGAAAGCAAAAAGGGTACAAACAAATAACAATGCCGTTGTGAACATGGCATAATGTAGACCTACAGACATGGCAGAAGAATACAGGTAGATGCATCAACGCTTGGGAGCATTGATATGTCCAAAAAATTTAAATGTTTTTGCAAATATACGTATTTTTATATGTTTCCTTATACTACGTCAGTCGGAGGCTACTAAAATTCACGTTTTTCAAAAATTTTTACAAATTTAAATAATTTTTCATTCAACATTTTCAATTCCAAAGTTGGTTTGACAGTTCATTGTCCTAGCAGCTGTGTCGACGCTTCTACCTATATTCTTCTACCATGCCTACAGAAGTCTATTGGAAGAAAATCGACTTACGTATCCCTAGTAAGAGATTGGCTACTTTGGACATATATTGGATACGGTGGACCAGCTTGATCGTTTCCATCTTACGGTGTGAAGCTGCAACCTTTGTCCATTCATAATTGTCATAATTGTAGCTTACTTTCGCAAGTAAAGTTCAATAAGGTGCAAATAGTCGACTAAATATTGATCGGATGAATAGCTGTGGTTCATGAATTTCTACTAACTGAGGGTATATCGTCTTTTCACTTCTTCAGTGAAATTTGTCAATAAATTAATTCCAGGAATTAAAACTCGGGCAAAGTATCAGTAAGTATAAAAGGCTATTAATAAAGTAGGATATGCGAACCCAGGTGTTAAAAGTAATACTGAAATTTTACTTAAAGCTACAAATATGACAGAGATCAAACGCATTGTACTTGTAAGTGGCAAGAGAAAGTGTGGAAAAGATTTTATATCGGAACATTTGAAAAGAAGGTATGATAAAATTTATTATTGACTCGGAACATACTTGTGAAAGTTCTCATTCAAGACTAGGTGACCGGTGTCAAATTGTTAGAATATCGGAACCAATAAAATCGGAATGGGCAAGGAAAATGCAGCTCGACCTAGCGGAGTTGCTTAGTGATGGGCCATATAAAGAGAAATACAGAAAAGACATGATCGATTGGAGTGATGAAGTTCGAAAACAGGATTATGGATATTTCTGCAAGACAGCGATGGAGAAGGGTAAGGAACGAATTCGTTTAATATTTACTACGTCTTAATGAATAACTATGTGCTTTAGCCAAATCCGAAATTATCATTGTGAGTGATGTACGTAGAATGAATGACGTTCGTTACTTCCGAGAAACATATGGAGATAAAGTAGTTTGTTTGCGCCTCACATGTCCCGACCCGGTAAGAATTCAAAGAGGATTTGTGTATACAGCGGGTATAGACGACATTGAATCTGAATGTGGCCTAGATAATTATAACAAATGGGATTTAGTTTTAGAAAATAACAATGCTTTGAACTTTGATCATCTAATTGACATAATAATACAAACATTTGCATTATAATATTTTGGTACAGACAAATTCTATACATTTGTAAAATTTGTTCTGTTTGAAGTTCTTTATATCTACATAAAATGCATTACCCAATAGGTTACTTTTGGTTTTTTTTTATTAAATTTTGAGAAAAGAATAGAATTGTAAATTGTATCAGAAACCCCCATTAGTTAAAATTGTTAGTTACTGTGGTTCACGCGTACACTTTACCATGGCCTCAGCTTTATTATTGCAAAATGTATACAAAATCAAATGTTTCTCTGACTACTTAAAGAAAAATTATTTAGCATAACAATATTTATAAGATATAAAAATAGTGTAAATAAAACTAAAATACATCTCTCAATCTCTTCTCAATATCTATTTATTAATACGTCTAAAAGCATTTTTCGATATATTTCAAAACATGTCCAATCTGCCTAGTTGGTTTCTAAATATTTCCGGACAATTTTCTTCATGGGGCTAATACTACAATTTCTATTTGGGAAAAGCAAAAATGCCAAAATTCTCGGCTTCAAAATAGTCAAGCTTGTTCCCATTATAACGTACAAAATCATAATTAGCACTTCCCACACGATTTAGTTTCACATAGGCGTTTATCATACTACATGACTTATAAATATGAACAACGGCTGCAAACAATTTAAGTACACCTAATTATGATCCTAACAATGGCCTTCGGCTTAGAAATATTTGTTTGAATGATCTTTTGTGCGCAATATCTAGAATTATGTCAAATGCAGCAGGTTTTGATAACATATTATTAAGATTCTTTATATTTATTTATCCTTTCATATCACATTCTACACTAGCCCAATACTATTCTTGTGACTGAATCTTTACCCTCGGAATGGGGTTGCCGCTGAGAATAATGATAGGGATGGTTTGACTTTAGACCCATTTCCTTTCACTTCTTTCGTTTGTGCCCGTTTAAAATTCTTATGTAATAATAATTCCGGAAACATCATGGAACAACATCTTTGGTGCTAAATCTTATGGATACTATACGATTTTCAATGAACCCTACACGTTACTGATAATATTCGACTTGAGTAAAGCTGTTAAAACAATGTATCATTATGTTATTTGAAAAAGTTGTATCATTTATTTGTGTTCTCGTGCTTGCCCAGTGTGCTAAATGACCGCTCTTAGTTTGTGGTTTCTTGTGACCGTAGATTTATTTCCACAAAACTCCACTCTCAGTCCATTTTTTTTTTTTTTTTTTTTTTTTTTGATGCCGTAGCTGATTTTTTTACCTGGCAACCCTCTATTGCAATACGAGTGAAGACTAATGTAAATGGGGTGTATCATTTTATAGTGAATGACCTAGATAAGAAGTTGTTTGTTTAGGTCAATACTCGGGAGGAAGAATGAGCTCCTATCAAAAGCAGCGTGGAAAGGGTAAACGTGGTGGAGGAGCTGCAAACCAGAAACAATATCGCAATGTGAAATCAAATCGCAATTGCGAACGATCGTTCGCCCAAAGAGAAAGCGAACTCGCTTCAGATTCCGACGATTCTGAATCAACCACTTCATCTGAGCATGATATTGAAGGTCACGGGACCCAACCAGATTTCCCTATTGCAATGTGGGATTTAAATCACTGTGATCCAAAGAAATGTTCCGGTAGGAAGTTATCTCGTCTGGGGTTAATTGAGAATCTTCGATTAGGGCAGAAATTTGCAGGACTAACCCTATCTCCTGTCGGTGTTCACTGTGTTAGCCCAGTTGATAGAGAAATACTTCAGTCATCGGGTTGTGCAGTTATTGATTGTTCATGGGCAAAGTTGGATGAAACACCATTTTCGCGAATGAAAAGTCCTCATCCTCGTCTTTTGCCTTTTCTTGTAGCAGCTAATCCAATAAACTATGGAAAGCCATGTAAACTTAGCTGCGTCGAAGCAATCGCCGCAACCCTGTATATATGTGGATTCCGTTCTGAAGCTCAATGGTATATGGGAAAGTTCTCCTGGGGCCATTCGTTCATAGAGCTTAACGAGACGTTGCTAGAGAGATATGCAGCATGTAAGTCTAGTGAAGAGATTCTGAATGTCCAAAACAGTTACATCAATGAAGAACAAGTTGCTCGAAGCCAACCGAAAGATTATAAGGAATTTTATCCAACCAGCAGCAGTTCTGAAGAGGACGAATGAATGATCTAATTAAATGAAGCTTACAAATGTAAAATATATCATTTCTAATACCCGTACAGTCGTAAATAAGTTTGACTAAAAAAGAACCCGAGACACATTTTATACTAGTATTCCAAATATCCAGGGGTATTAGATATTGTTTATTTGTTCTACAGATATTTACTGGTAAGAAAAGAAAAAAAACATTTAATAAAGATCTTTACAAAGTATAATAGTTATTTGGGAAAATGGAGAGACCTAATAATGAATACGGGGGGTGATCCTAAAATCATTGGGTATGACGATGATATTCAGGGGTAACATTAACAAAGCTTGACATGCTAAAGAAAGTAGCACTATTTTTCACCAAATACTTCAGGAAATCGTGGAGATGCACGAGAAGCAGCTGCATAGACTTTTCATCGAGATCCGAATAGCCCAACATAGATCCTAGTTTTACAAATAAACGCAACAAATGGAACGATCCATATAATTTCGATAAAGGAATATCCTGATACTGCTGCAAAATATCTGCATATTGTGGACGTTCAAATTTGTACAGAAGCTGAGAGCCGAGCATTACATTGAAATATTCCACAACTCCATTAAGAACGTCAGTTATGGCTAATTCCTTCCCAGCATTAGTTGATTTTGCAGATTTCTTGAAACTAATATACTGGTCGACGATATCTTGGACCGTTATTTTCGCGGGTATATCCAGAAGTTTGTGTTGTCTAGTAATCGCATCCCAGTCATCTGCTAGGCATTGCTTTAACTCGTCTGGAATTTTTATTTTTACCTCAATTTTTGAAAGAAAAGTCTCTTCACTTTCAACGCAGGGATCCAAACGTACATTGGTCTGAGATGTGGTATTCGAAATGTTATTGTTTGACAATGTTGCAGGCGAAGCTGAAGTAGCTCCCGGACCTGACGCACTTGCATTGGATACCGCCGTGGTGTTTGCCGTAGACTTTTCTGAGGAGCTGGTTGAGGCTCCCCGCTTCTTTTTTACTACGGGTTCGTCTTTATCGTCTTTGCTGGAATCTTCTCTGCCACTTCCATCTTTCTTTGATTCTGTGGCACTAGAAATCTGTTTTGATCTGTTCGCCCTTCCAGAAGAAGCGTTTGTACTTGCAGAAGTATTCAACTCTTTTGATGGCGTTGAAGCCCGTGATTCACTACCACCGCTACTGGTTGCACCGCTTTCCTTTGAGTTTGCTCCAACCGTTTCGCCTTTCTTACCTTTCGCTGTATCTGAAATACAATTCACGAACTGTTAGCCTATGCATTAAAATAGGGATTTAAATAAAGCGTTTTACTTTTTCTGTTTTTCTCCTTCTTTGCATCGTGCTCCTTCTGAAGGTCCTTTTGTCTTTGTAAATTGGTTTCGTTGTATTTCAAAACTCGATGCTCCGGAACCCATTCGTCCCAACTGTAATAAAAGACGGTTATTATTGGGAAACTGGAAGTACCCCGAGCACTTACTTCTTATTCCATCCAGCATAATGAACAAAATACTTGAGCTGTTTGTCCTTGGTAACAGTGCTCTTTAATGCCTTTGCCTCATATATCAGTGGGCCATGGAAGCAGAGCACTTTCTCGCCTAGAAATAAACGAATTGCTGTCATAGACAAAATAAAAGCATAGCACAAGTCACCTACCCTCGGCGAATTTGAATTTTGGTTGCATTTCACTTGAGGACGTTATTTTGGCGGTTTTTTTCCTTCCAAGTAGTTTAAAAGCTTTAGTATTCCAAGGCAAGTGTATTCAGGACAATTCTATTGTTTTGTTTTGTGGAACGAATATAAAGACAAAATAGAACTGCCGATGAAAATGAGCACCAAAATGAAATCTATCTGGTTGCGAATGAAGTGTGAAGCATAGTTGACGAGACTGGATTTGTCAGACTACATTGCCGAATACATTTATGGGCTACGGCGTCGGCAATAAACGTCGATGCTCTTCTAATCACGATGAATTAACTGCCCGTCTCTGTCAATGATAAATTCAATAATTGATTACATAATTCGATTCAGTGGATATAAACGTCAAAACGTCTCCAATTCCTAGGATTCTTATCCGTGTCGATGGGTGGATGTTAAATACGGTTAATGTATTAATTGTCAAAATACCAAAATATATCCTTATGTCCGGGGAATCCTTATATTCGTTTGTTTTACTATTCTTCAGATTATCAGTATTTTTTAATAGTTTTATAGTTTTAATGTCAACATATATTCTCCTTGAGATATGTTAAAGTAATCGAAGCCGTAAACAACTATGTTTCAAGACAGCCTGTCTTGTGTACATCCCGGTTAGGTGTAAGACTCGTTCTATGGCAAAATTATATAAGGTAATCCCATGCTAATGATAGACCATTTTTTATTTACAATATATCGTTGGCAACGATTTTACATGGTTAATGGTTTGTATTCTATGCACTATGAAAACAAATTTTAACATAACGTAATATATCGCGAAAAAAATGAGAATCGAAGAACAAAGTTATATTTTTACTTTTACTGATAAAGTGACATATTGAGGTTTTTTAGTGTGTTTAATTTATTTAAAATATGTATGTATATGTATTCTATTTTTTACAAAATTATTATTATTAGTCATGAATTAATGTTAAAATAAGTTCAAGTTCATGGAAATAATTTCGAGTTGAAATTTGAGTTGAAGGAACAAAGCTCTTGTACCATTCCAATATAAATTTACGCGATTCCATGGTTATTTTCTCTGTTAGTGTGGCAACTTTGCATATATCAAATGATTTTGAATAAGGTCACCCTGTGTACATGTAAAAACATAGGGTGACTGTAATTTTTCCAAAATGAAATATCTTCATGACTAGCAAAAACAGTACAGTTGCCAGATTGGCTGAACAAAAAATAAAATTATTACACCTTTAAGGTGTTTGTCTGTGATGGCAATTTATAATTTGTTTACACTAATACATATTTTGTATTAAATAGTTAAATTGTTTATTGATTAGCAATTTGCAGAGCAGCCTTAAAAATCTCAAAATCACTTTTCCATTGTTTTACCATAGCCATTTATAAACTTTTTTTTTATTTTGTCAACTTTTCTGCAATATCGATTTAAATATTCTTTATCACTTGCAAAATAAAATGATAAACAGAAATATTGCAGTAAACTGTAATTAGATAATATTTTATCTTCCTTATAAACTTTGTATGGTCGGTGATTTTCTTCAAATTTCCGAAATTTCCTTTGACAGTTGGCAAAAAAAACATAATGCAAACTTCATTCTATTTCAAAGGCGATTTCCGCGTAGCATAAAATCTTAAATATATATAGAAATAAAAATACTTCTTATATTTTTAAATAACACTCTTTCACAATAGCTTAAATAAAAAATTCAAATTTGACCGAAATCTAATGTAATGGTAACGCTATGTGGTCGCCATTTTGGCAAATGAACATTCGAGGTGGCAACATTAGGCAATAGAAACCAACGCTGAATTTTTTCCTGAACTTTATTTGCTTGCTCTCAAAACTCAAAGTAAAATATTCCCGTTAAAGTAAAAACTTTAAATATCCAGCTTCTTGGCATATTGTTGAAGGTAACAATTTTCCCAACAGAAGTGAATCAACTTCAAGAAAATCGAACTAATATTCAAGTGAAAAGCAATTCAACAACATCAAAAGTTCCAACGAATTCCTTCAACACAGAAAAGAAACAAACAGGACTTCGCCTGCCACAGTACCGCCCCGCCAAATTATTGCCGTCAGTAAGTGGTGGAGGTACAGTTTTATACACTGGTATCACTGTTTCCCCGACATTTTCCGGAGAATTCTACACAAATAAGGCTTTAAGAAAAACGAGAGCAAACGTACTCGGCCTCACTACCACCCCGGCGCGGCACCATGGGTGAAATTAAATCGGTAAAAGTGGACAACTGGGGGGTGTTCTTCCTCCAAAAGTTGCAAAATTTCTTCAATAAAACAGACTACTGTGATTTAACATTACAATTCCGAGATAACTCACAGCTAAAAGTGCACCGTTTGGTGTTAAGTGCATGTACAGATTACTTCAATGTTTTGGAGCAGACCTGTGAGGTAGTGGACGATGCTATCATTATGCCAAATGGATTGCAAGCGGATGTGGTGGTCCCGATTGTTAACTTCATGTACACGGGAACCCTGGAATTCGAGTTGAAAATGTACAATCGCCTTCTGCGCACCGCCAAGGACATGAATATGACTGTGTTGCTCAAGTTGCTGGAAGCACACCGACGAACGATGGAAATGCATCCGCAAAAAAATCAAGCTGTAAGTACTAATGAGTAATGAGATTCTAGTTAAATATTTTACTTTATTCGATATTACTTTCGCTACTGCAGCCTTCCAGCCCTAAAACAAAGCGTAAAATAATTCCATCATATGCCGCAGGCTCCGGTACTCAGACTAATATTGGTGGGCGGTCTTTGGTGCAACCCGCGGCAAAACGTATTGTAGTTAGCGGCAACAATCCCCAACAACTGCATCGAATTGGAGTTCCCTCAAATACCTATATGCGTTCAGCCACTGGCAATACAGTGTCTGCGCCTGTACCCGTGAAGCAACAAATTGGCTCTACCACATTTACTCGTATAAAACAAGAAGTGGAACACGAAAGCGGTTATACATTACCCAAAAAGTTGGGGACTCAGCAGTCAACGCCTTCTTCGCCTTTCGAACAGCTTAGGAAAGGATATACAAATAATAATAAACGACCACCCACTGCAACTTTTGTATCGCCCCCAGCTAAGAAGCCCAACATTGAGGATGTGAAAGAGTTTGCGGAACAACAGCGTATGCGGAAACAAATTGCGGCTGAATTTGGTGATGACGGTGACTATGATGCTGGAATCATGGATGACGATACCATACATAATGACGACGATGATGACGACATGGCTACAACCACAATGCCTTCTCCTCAACAGCCCCAACAACAGAAGTCCACTTCCACTTGTTCATCAACGGCGGTTCAAACATCATCGACACAACAACAACAAACTGAAGATCCTCCTGGCACAACTACAATTATAGTTAAAAACGAAGGCCCAGATAAGCCACCTACCATTGTGGTAAAGGACAGTTCAAATTCAAAAATGAATCACGCCAAGATCATATCCGAAGTTTTGCGACAGTATCCGCACCTTGTAAACAGCAATAAAAATATAAAGTTAAAAATTATGCCGAATGCTGGAAGTCAAAGCCAAAAGGTAATTGTAAAAAAAGAATCTGCTGCCGATTCTGAAAGCTCGAGTGCTGCCGTGACGCCTCCTACTAAGATAACAATAGGATCAAAAGCAGAACCAAAAGCAGCGTCAGTAGTCACAATTAAGCCCAAACAGCAAACAGCAAATACAACAAACGTCAGTTCGTCTGTAGACCAGACTACAAATAAAATGGCAGATTCTACTACCGGATCTAGCGCAGCTGCAGCTCCGACTACAGTACCAACTCAGAAACGTCGCATCGACAGCAAAACAATGCATGCCCTAATTGCCTTAGGAGCTGAAAATACCACTGGACCATGGTTATGCTTGAGATGCGGACGCAATGGCCACCCCATTAGCATACCATCTTATCGCGGTTTCAGGCGTCATCTTATCAATACTCACAAGGAAACAATAGATCCTGCCCTCTGTGAGCACTGTGGCTGGCGGTCGTCCAGCAAACGCGAGCTACATTTCCACATGCAGTTGGAACATAAAATTCGAACTAACCTCTATATATTCCCTGAGTGTCAGCTATGTCAACAAATGTGCATAGACAGTGACGCTTTGAACCAGCATCTGATCGATAGTCATCCTGACGAGAATAAGCAACAGTGCATTTATTGCAATAAGATCTTTCCCCAGGAACTGCAATTGTACACGCACATGAAAACTTTCCATAAAAAACAAGCTTTGGAGGATGGAATAATAGACTATTCCGACGATGAAAACACCAATGCTCAGCCCGTTTTCCCTCCACCAAACGAGGATGAGGAGATGTTAATGGAAGAGGACATTGATGGACAGCAACAGTCCGAAAAGAAGGTAAAAATACTATCGGACATAAGCTTGCCCATTGCAAGTTCCATAATAAAGACGGATAGTTTTGCTTCGGAAACGGTAACCGCAGGTGAGTCGACGACATCAGCAGCATCTGAAGAATATTTGCAAGAACATGGTGGAGAACACATGGAAACTAAATTTGTTGCCGCTGATGGTAGTGAAGTAATACTTACGGATGAGCAACGTAAGGAGATTTTGTCACAGTTAAATCAGGAACACGATGGATCGGGTGTTGTAATGGTTCTAAATGAAAACCAGCAGATAACTGGCGGCGAAACTCAATCTGAACAGGGTGCCATAAGCCATGATGAAACTTCTCAGGCAACAACAGCTACCACAAATGATGATCCGGATCACGACGACAGTCAAATTTACGGTGAACTTAAATCTCAAACTTCTGAAGCAGCACAAGAAGAGGAGGAAGAGGACACGGGCAGTCAAGCCCCGGAGGATATGCATGAAGCAGAAGAGCAACCACAAACTAAAGCTGACAACGTACATCACGAACAACATTTGGATGAAAGCAAAGAATCAATTGACAACTTGGAATGGGCGGAGAATTTAATATCTGAGCATGAAATGGCCGATCATACTTCGCCTAGCCCCAAACCGGAGATTAGCACTACCACTTCAGAGGAGCCATTGCAGAAAGAAGAACAGGTAAATTGATACAAGATTTGATAGTAGATGGCAAAGTATTTATTTATTTTGTTTTGATTTGTTGCAGAAATCGAAACCGAACGTTGATACTGAAGATGATATTAGTAAGAAACTCAAAGAGCTCGCCGGAGAATGGTCAGAAGATGAAGAATTAGACGAAGACATGGAAGAAAAACGCACAGAAGAGAAAATGGAAGAAGAATGTCTAGACGAGGATGTGAGTAAGGCGATCGATGAAGTAACCACCGAAGCAGCTCTTGCAGAGGAGGAGAAACAGTTCGTAGAAGAAACCACTGAAGCTCCAAAAGCTGAAAATAGTGAAAATGAAAAAGAAGCCAAAACATCCGAAGACATTCAGGAGGAACAAGAAGAAATGAAAGAGGAAGTAGAACACAAAAAAGGGAATGATGAAGTTGCTATGGAGGAAGATGATGTTGATCTTGCTCTGAAAAACCTTCACAAAGAAGGGGATGATGATAATGATGAAAAAGCAGAAGATGACGGAAAAAATGAAACCCCTGAAAAGATAGTTGACCCGAAAAACGAGGAAGAAGAGACGTTAGAAGGTATTGCAGAACCCGATAAAGTTAACGAAATCCAAAAGGAAACTGCTGATGATTTATTGAAAAATGAAGCGATACTCACAGAAGAGGAAAAGGTAGCACCTACTGCGACAAATGATGAACTAAAAGAAGCTGATAATGAATCTGGGGCTCCAGTAACTTTACCCGATGACGCTGTCCTCGAACAAGACGAAGAGCATAAAGACAGTGTTGAAGTGAAAGAGGAAAAGGAAACTGCGGAATGTACTAAGGATGATACAAGCAACAAAACAGTTGAAGATGAACCAACTGTAGAAGACGAATTTTTAGCGATTTCCCCCGAAAAAACCAAACCCGGCACCGATGATGTGTCTGCTGCAAATGCAGACTCGGACAAGGAAGTAGATACTCAGTCCACAGCTACAGCCATAGATCCAAATCCCATATCTTCGGAGGAGCGTGTCAAAAGTCTTATAAGCGAATGGGGCGATGACGACGACGAGGAAGATCCCGACACAAACTTAGCCACAGCCAACCTATAAGCACTAGATCTCTAGTTACTTTGTAAGTAAACTATTTGATCTGAATTTATAATATCATTTCCAGCACGAGGAAATATGCATGATTTTCCCTTTTTATATAATGAAGGAAAATCTGTCCCATACACAGTTGAATGCGTCGTTCTCTACATGCAGTACATTCAATTGATAATACGAGAATATTCTGTTTTGGACGCCTGTTCTTCTTTAATTAATGGACCCAATTAATTCAAATACAATTCTAATTTCGTTTATCCATCATTGGCAATATTTTTAATTTATATTAAGTATGAAGTATCCATAAGACACTTGAATATGTGAAAATCATATTATTTGAATTGATTTGTATGTAGCAAAAGATGAAATCTTTGTTAAACGTATTTCTCTCTAATAAATATTTTTAACAAAACCGAACCTTGAATTCAAACGAATACAAATAGTAGTATTTATAATATATTACAAATAAAATGCATAGGGATTGTTATGTTTATTGCATGCTTATTTTTCAGAAATCCCTCTTTCCTAAATTAAGATGCCTGAATTGATACATTTCGAGGATATTTTGAGATTTAATTCTCTTTATTTTGATCAATAACTAGTTTACTTAAAGCTCTTAACTTAAAACTATGCAACGTTCATTTGAATTTAATTGTTATTCATCATCTAAGGGAAAAAAGAAAAAAAAATTAAGTTATTATTGAAAGACTATTAAGAACACACTTACCATCCAGGTAATAGTTGATTAACGCCATTGTCACAAAACCTATGGCAACCGCAAAAAATTGCGCAAATCCAGCCACTTTTTTAACAAAACCGAACCTTGAATTCAAACGAATACAAATAGTAGTATTTATAATATATTACAAATAAAATGCATAGGGATTGTTATGTTTATTGCATGCTTATTTTTCAGAAATCCCTCTTTCCTAAATTAAGATGCCTGAATTGATACATTTCGAGGATATTTTGAGATTTAATTCTCTTTATTTTGATCAATAACTAGTTTACTTAAAGCTCTTAACTTAAAACTATGCAACGTTCATTTGAATTTAATTGTTATTCATCATCTAAGGGAAAAAAGAAAAAAAAATTAAGTTATTATTGAAAGACTATTAAGAACACACTTACCATCCAGGTAATAGTTGATTAACGCCATTGTCACAAAACCTATGGCAACCGCAAAAAATTGCGCAAATCCAGCCACTTTTCGTGTAGGATTTTGATGCCATCTAGCCTTTTCGCGTGGTATGACTTCACATACTGTAACATATAACAGGGTACCACCAGCCAAACCCTGGATTATAGCCAAAGCCGAGACGGGAAGTAGAGATTCGGACATATTTACCAGCAACATTCCCAACCCAATTCCTGCAACTGCACCCAAAGCGAAAACCAAAATTCCCACGATCTGAGATTTCATACTAGCTGATGGATTAGAACGGAATTCAAGGCCAAGACAGAAGCCCATAACAAATTTGTGGCAGGCAACAGCTCCTAGTAAAAACAGCACCTTTAAATATATAAAATAAAAAACTTTTTACAAAAAGAAATTGCCGTCCACGCATTTACACGGATCTTTATGACCCCAAAAAACAAGGTCTTGGGCAATTTCAGACTAGCTAATACGTGCTTTCGTTTGTTATATATTATCATAACATGCTACAATGTATCGGCACAGTGATGCACAGATCACGTCAAATCATCGGTTTGCATCGTTACATATGTATAGTTATATATATGTAGAATGGGTTATATCGTTAGTACTTGGATTTAAAATGTTCATTACCTTTGTTGGAGAATCTTGTACACCTATTCCCATACCTTCCAATGCAGAATGCAATGACAACGCTGCAAATAATCCTAGTGTACCCGTCATTGACTGAGAACAGGGTTCCGTATGGCTAGTGTGACAAATTCTCGCATTCGCATCCTCAATTACGTCATCATCACAGTGTGAATGACCGGCATGCGAGTGGACACGGTGATTGTGGTTACTAAAACAATAATATCATTAGTGTCAGCTTAAAACAATAGGTCTCAAATATGTACGTTGCATGTAACAAAGGGTCTGACTCATCATTTCTCTGAAGACTTCCATATTGACTGCTGCTAGGGGCAGTACCATTGTTAGTTGCTGACTCGCTGTGGGAATGCGAGTGCTGAATAGCCTCTCCAAAGAAATAATGGATGAACTCATCGATGAAATAAATAAAAAAGAAGCCGCCGCACAAGGAAATTTCCGCCCAATTCGAGTTTATCTGTTTCCGTACCTACAAACAGTAACACTTTGTTTAAAACAAATATTCATATACCGTAGTATCAAGACTCACTTCTGGTAGGATGTGTATAATGGAAGTTGCCAAAAGGATTCCCGCTCCAAAACACAGCATCAAAGATGTTATCAATGGAAACCTCCGAGTACTGCGTTCCGATATGAAGGCTGGTAATATCCCTGAAATAAAACTACCACCACCCAAGACAAACATTGCCAATACTTTCTCCAATACACCTGTTCCATTATTTCCACTTTCCACTGATGCATTAAATTCCCTCAACTTTGGCCATATGAGCTCGTAATTCTGGGTTAAGTTCATTTTGTCGTATCGCGTTTTATTTGTTGAATGATAACCGAAATATAAATCGACCGCCTTCTCACCTAAGATCGATTGAACGAATAACTATGCCTATGTTGCCGCGAGATCTAACGTAAGTTTTTATTCTGCTCCCGTATCAGTTTAATCTCAGACACTATTTACATTATGTGTGCTAATTTTGATAGACTGATCAAACAAAACAATTATTGTGTGCCTACATGCGTTTGTTTGGTGTTTATGGGGGTGGGAGTGCGCGCTGGATGCGGATTCTATCTAAGATCTTTCTTTGTTTTTGTTATGATTTGATAGAAGCGAACTACGGAACTACCCAACATACCAAATTGACTTGAGAATAATATTTTAATAAGCTTTCAAAAATAAGCCTTAAGCTTGAGAAAATCTTGAGAATGTATTGAGAAATGCTTGTTTAACAATTATAGAATAATCGAAAGGGAACCCTTATTCATAAGCTTATTCTTGTAATTGGAGAATAAGCTTACGAAAGTAATATTATATCAAGCTTATTTTTTCAATGGTATAAAATATTTATTTTTTAATTATTTTACACATTTCATTCATTGATCGCCATCCCAGCTGTCGCTGCCTCCTGTTGCATTGATACCTAGATGATTTCTTTCCCCTTATTTGAGCTTCCGCATCTCCTCCACTAATTCTTCACTTCTCCTGAATTCTTGCAACTTTTTGACGCCTCTATTCTGAAATGAGATTGAAATAATATACACTACAGATTCCCAGATTTATTATTCATCATTACCTTAGAGTTTCGTCCAGAAATGGGTCTTAAATTCGCGTGATTTTGATTTTAACCAAAGAAAATATTTTTTTTGTCGACAATTTTCACAAAAAAAAAATCAAAACAAATTTGTCAACAAAGGACAGATTTGAGAAAAGTTTGTGCAAAAAAGTTTTTCTCTAGCATTGTTGAGGAATTCTTACGATAAACTATTTTCATAATATTATTCTCAAGCTGTATTGTATTTTTGGTATGTTGGGTATTCTTTGTACACAAACACATTGACAAATTTACACAAATATACAAAGTAGTTGACACTCACACGGAGAGTGTCGAATGAAAGAAGAGGAGGCAACTGTTGGTAGAAGAATACAGGTAGATGCATCAACGATTGGCAATATTCAAGGCCTATATATGGACATCCAAGGATATTATTTTTGACAATTTTCCATAATTGTGATTCAAAATTAAAATACAACTTGTTTTTTGACAGTAAACTTAGTTGGCGGATAGGCCTATTAGCCGAACTTATATAATATACCTTTGTGTCAGAATTTTTAAGTAGCTTGTACTTTTTATATGATTTGGCGCCATTTGAAGGAAGGTATTTGACTGTTCATTGTGCCAGTTGTTGTGTCAATATTTTATCATCTAAGAAATGCAGAAACGATTAAAGTACGTTAAAATATAAAATGTCTCTACAGCTGCTGGGGCAATGAACTGTCAAACCAATTTGTAAATTTCTTTGAAATTTTTGAAATATATAAAAATCTACTTATTTTAGAAAAAACATTTTGACATATCAATGTTTCCAAACACTGATACAACCATGGTAGAATTACAAGGTAACCCTTTCACACCAGCTGGTATCAATTTGATATGTCAAAAAAAATGTTGTAATTTGAATTCGCCATAGAGAAACGTTACCAAAATTCACACTTCAAACAGTAACAATAAATAAACTTTGAATACTCTCAGCTAAATGACTACATCGGCTATATACCTTTTGATACGGTCAAAATGTGCCTCATCGAAATAATGGTGTTGGACTTTAGATCTTTTGGATGAAATCCGTATTAGACATTTAGAGTCGGTTGGGCGTCCGACCGTCTATTTGTGTTTTCATTATTTAAATTATTTAAGGCCACAATTTAAGACATAGAATGTTCAGAAGATGAAGTTTCAGAACTTTTACGTGGTAATTGCTTTAAAACTGGAAGCATAATTTTGAAAATTCCCCTGAAATAATTTAGCGCAAATGATTCTGCATATTTTTAAAGGCGAACGTATCATTTTTATAAAATTTAATTTGAGATAGAAAGAAATAGTGTAATATTCTGCATTTTTATGATGCCAATTGTAAAATTTTTTATTTGACTAATCTTAAACTAAAGACATATGGACGGTCAGTGATTTTATATATCTTAAATTCCTCCGACTTGAATTCTTAAAGGCATTAAATAAACAATTCCATTCATTTGAAAAACAATAATGTTGAGAAATTAATGATCTCTCTCTTTAAAATTCAACAAAGTCGGACTCGGAAATATTCTTTAGAATCTACGATTTAACACCGGAAGAATTTTTTTTAAATTCATGATTTGGGGCTCGGGCATTTTCTTTAAATCCCTGAGATGTTGTGAAGAACTCTAGATTCTTTCAAATTTCACTTTTGAAACTTTTGTAAATTTCTACAATCACATCGCACAAAAAGTTCATACAAATCCACTATATAGTGCGTACATTTTTAATGGGTTGATGATTTCTTGCCTTATTTTGAGTTCTCCGAATTCTTTTTGAATTTGTTCCAACTGAGATTATCATTCCACGCGGTATTCACCCCAATATTTATATACCATTTGCTTTTATCGAGTTCTCTCATATCGAGGACCGGCCTAAACTGTACGAGTCACAACAATAAAACATTTCCCTGCAAAATTTAATAGAAATTGAAAAATAAACCAAATTTTTCAAAGTTTCAAAATTAAATTTTCTGATTGGTGCAGAACAATTTGCCTCAAATTTTATATGTCAAGTAAATTCGCCTAGCTTACAATTTTGATATATCAAGTTCGAACAAAAGTTGCTTTGTTGTAATTTTCGCCTATGTTGCTACCTGGTACTTATACCATGGATACAACTTTTACAGGGTTAACCCGGATAAACAATTTTAGGTATATGCCATGGTACAATACCATGGGTATACATACCCTGGTACAATAAAAAGGTAACGTAGAGCTACCAGCTGATTACATTTTTTTTAAGTGTGCCCGACTTCTGCCAATTTTGTGTATGTATTTATTGTTTTGAAAAATAAAAACAGAATATTTTCAAAATCAATGATTGGAAGACGCGTAAATTGTGAGATGCGCATTAAAGCTATTCGCCAGTTTTACCATGGAATTGTAAGATAGAACTGTCTAGATGATATTTTTGAAAGAAAAATCCAGGCGTTTCATTAATTTTTCCCGTTGTTTAACTGAATTTAAAAATGAGAAAAATATTGAATAAATGGAAACAACTTGTTGTATGCAAATTTGACAGGAAGCGGGCGTAGCATCAGGGCTTTATTTATGTTGTTTTACGAACCTGTACCTTATTGTACCATGGGTTATACGTACTTTTTGATACAAAATTGTATCCGGATTAAAAGTACCTCTACATACAAATTTCTTTCGGCTAACCCATTCACAATAATTGTGTCTATAAAAAACAACATTAAATTTAAAGTTATAGGTCAATATTCCTTGCAGACGGGCCATTGTGAAATAACACTATTTTTTCAATATATTTTGCCCCAATCAAGACCCAATAAACCTTGAAATTTCAAAAGGTAAATTACAAAAAATTAAAAGGTATATACGCTTCTTTTATATGACTTGGCCTTCTTAATATTACCATGCTCATTAACGAGCAGATCTTATTTTTTGGCTGCAAATGAATAGAATTTTTTATTCATTTCACGCGTACACACATACATTTTTATTATTCTGAGTGTGCCACAATTGATACCATGATAGAAGAATATAGGTAGATGCATCAACGCTTGGGAACATTGATATGTCAATGTTTTAAAATGTTTTATGAAAAATAAGTGGATTGTTGTTTTTATACGACGCAAATCAGAGGTTTTAGAATTGAATTTTTCAACAATTTTTACAAATTGTAATAATTTCTCATTCAACATTTTCAATTGCAAAGTCGGTTTGGCAGTTCATTGTCCGAGCAGATGTGTCGATGCGACTACCTGTATTCTTCTACCATGGATTGATACCAAACAAAATCTTCTTTGACAGACAATGTTTCTATCAGCTGTGGTGCTGACGCGGCAACCTCAAACGTCAATGAGAAAAACATATGTTTGAAGACTGCCAACCAAGGTAGATGTACTAGGTAATCGCATCAGCCCAGCTGACGGCACCATTAAATGTCAAAACGAATTGTTGTAATGAAGAATTCGCCCTAAATGAATGCAACAACAAATTTGTTTATGTTGTCTTCCCTAAAAGTACCTTTTTATAATATTTCAAATAATTTAAGAGTAAGTTAAGAGTGAAACCAGTAAAAAATTAAAAGAACATAAAGGAAGGAGGTTAGAATGGAGTGCAGCTTTAAGAATTAAGTTAGCCTCAACATCTAAGATTCCCAAAGCACATCACGGGAAGTAGTGCAAGAATTAAACTCTTGTCATTTGCAGTTCCGGAAAACTTTCGGTTTAAACCAGTAAAATATAGTCATTATAAGTTTCTTTGTTTAAAAAATATCGCAATACTACAATTAATACTTATTTTACTCTTATTTGTTTTACAATAAAAACTTTTATTGCGACGTTCGTTTACGACGAGAGGGACACAAAATGAAATGTAAACAAACATTTAAATGTCATGGCGAATCTATGTTTTTCGCCTTAGATGCCAATTTTGACATTTGAGGGGACCACAAAAGTTGCTTTGTTGTAGCAATTCGCCGATGCGGTTACCTGTTAGATCTACCTTGCTGCCAACATTCACGTATTCTCTACTGGTATGCCCTACCAAACTAGAGATAAACATATGTAGACGCATTATGCTTTGAGAAGTAGAGAGTAAACTGTTGAAAATAGATTCATAAATTATTAATCGATTTTTGTTTAAAGCGGTTAATGAACTTTCTTACAACAACACACCAACAAGTCACAACCTCTTGACTCTGACCAAAAGAACAACAACGAGTTAAGAATAGCTGAACATGCGAAATATGAAAGGCCTGAGGCGATTGCCCAAGTCAGCATTAATTAGATAAACTAACTCAACTATTGAAACGCCTGAGCCGCCAGTACGTGTAACCAGAGGCAACAACAAGAAACAGGCACAAGTATCAGGCTATTAAATCTTTTCAAACATGTCTAACAGGGCGCCTGATATAATAATATGGTAAGATTGACTGGGCCTTTGAATAGGTAATTGGATTGCATATATCAATTGTATATTTGTTTTTTTAGCGGGTTCTTCGTTCTGACGTTACTTGTAATCCATTTCTTTTCCGATATACTGAGAACAGCTTTAGGTGGAAATTATGATACACACAGGACTTTGTCACAACTGGTGGATGCCCAAGCTAAGGAATACTCATGGATTTTAAAACTACTTGTTAATTGTTTTGGATATAGCTGCGTCTTTGTTCCTGGTTTTCTCATTTACAAATATGTACAGCGCACAAATTACTTGGAAAAAAGTGGTATGTTACTTCATATTTTTTATGTCGTTATAATCAGCATATGGGTTTTTATTGCTTTAGATAAAACTTATATACATGCTGCGGTTAGCATGTGTATCAATGGAAATACAGGTTTCGATGGGGAACGCGACGAGCCGTTGCAAAAAGCGGGCGTGGAATCGGTTGTGGCTGGACCATCTCCACCCGCCCAAAAGTCTACTCCCCCAAAGCGAACTACATCGCAAGAGGCTATTTTACTGATTTGGTGTTTTGGTGGTCTGATGGTGTCCTATTTAACCTGGGGTGTACTGCAGGAAAAAATAATGACCCAGGAATACTACAATTTCGAAGGAGTGAAATCTCATTTTAAGGATTCGCAATTTTTAGTATTCTCTAATCGATTTTTAGCCTTTATTGTCGCCTCCATCGTTTTGCAATATAAACGACCAATGACGCGACATAGGGCTCCACTCTACAAGTACTCGTTTGCATCGTTTTCGAATATTATGAGTGCTTGGTTCCAATATGAGGCTTTAAAGTTCGTTAACTTCCCCACCCAAGTGTTGGCCAAGTCCTGTAAAATAATACCTGTGATGTTGATGGGCAAAATACTGTCTAAAAATAAGTACCAATGTTACGAATATTTTACTGCAGTTCTTATATCGTTGGGTATGGTGTTTTTCATGATGGGTTCTGCGAATAGCGATAAATCGAATGGTGTCACCACCATGACGGGGATTGTGCTGCTGGCAATGTACATGATTTTTGATAGTTTTACTGCCAATTGGCAAGGTGACCTATTTAAGGCATACGCCATGACTCCGCTGCAAATGATGTGTGGAGTGAATTTATTTTCGACAATTTTTACAGCTGCTTCCTTAAGTGTACAAGGTGGTTTCATGGACTCCCTTACATTTGCCACGGAGGTAAAGTTTACTTAAATAATATCAACAGAAAACGAGTAATTTAATAATGTTCTTTTATAGCACCCAAAATTTGTGTTTGATATTGTTGTGCTGTCAATAAGTTCGGCAGTGGGCCAATTGTTTATTTTCTACACAATATCAGTCTTTGGACCAGTTGTGTTTACCATAATAATGACGTTGCGACAGGTAAATAAACAATCCATTGAACGGTGATCTGTTTCAAATTCTTTGTCGGTGTTTGCAAACGATTTGTTTTTATCTATTGTTATTCATTTTCAGGCCACAGCTATCTTACTTTCCTGCCTCATTTATCATCACAGCATCTCTGTTTTGGGAATTCTGGGAGTTATGGTTGTGTTCGTTGCCATTTTCATTCGTGTCTACTGCAACCAACGCTTGAAGCAAATGCGTAAACGCGCTGAGGCACACAAGCCTAAAATGGCTGTCTAGTAAAGAAATATTTACTAATAGAAAATAAGTTTTCTGTTTATACATATTGATTTCAACTTTTACATATGGATCACTGTCGCTTCCCCTTTGTTACGATGACGTATTTACGAATGAAAAGAATAGAATTTTATTTAGACATGTATTGTTTAAGTCCTCTTTGCCACTGAATCGCTCAATTTAGGTGCTAAGATGTTAATACTTAAATTAATATATAAATGTGCATTAAAAATTGTACATAGTTTTAATATGTATGTAGATATTTTTACATGTATCACTAGTTTTAGTATGAGCCCCAATCTACTCTAATATTGTTAAAATAAACGAATGCAAGCAAATAAATTTTTGTTTGCTGTTTTTCTCGATTTCTTCAGGGAAGTTCAAGTTCGTACTATTATTTAATGTGTGCTCACACAAATTTGGCAAAAAGGCGATAAGCGACGTCTTAAAAACTAGTTTGATTGAAGTCGAATTTTCCACTCGCTCTAATCCCTTATCATGGTAGAAAAAAATATTATTTTGACAATATATTATTGTCAAAATTTATATTTATAAATCCATTGTAGAAGAATAAAGGTGCTGGGACAATAAACGATTAAGCCAAATGTGCAAGTGAAATTTTTGAATGAAAAATTATGCGATTTCGTTAAAATTGTTGAAAAATGTTTATCATAACAACCTCCAACATATTTCTGTGAAAAAAATAACCTTTTTAAACTTTTGACTTATCAACATTCCCAGTTTATGCATCTACCATGCCACAGATGTTTTATTTTTTGTTTGATTATCTTTCGTTCTATGGCACAATGTTTTAAAAACATCATTCCTGAATGTTTTAAAAACATCATGTAATGTCAAAATTAGTTTACACTTTAATTGATATTTGTTCATCTCATGGCCCTACTATAAGGCCCCTCTTCCAAGCCAGCCGACAACAAAATTTAATGTCAAAATGTATTATTGTGACGTTTTTCGAATATAAATAGATTTCTATATGTTTCCCAATACGATGCAATCGGAGATTGATATGACATGCATTTTTCAAAAAAAATTTCAAAATTTTAATATTACTTCATTTAAAATTTTCAATTCCAAAATTAGTTTGACAGTTCATTGTCCCAGTAGCTGTGTCGATGCTGCTACCGGTATTCTTCTAACAAAGCATGTTTTACTTTATATTAAGACATGGCCTACTACAAATCTGGGTCTAGTTCCGATAGTTCCGTTTATGGAAAGTTTTCATTGAACCAGTTCTATTCGGAATGAAACAACTCCGAAAGAAAAAATACACTTCGGAAGGAGGGATGCACTCGGTTAAGGAACAATAACAATGTTGTGAAAAGTGCTCTAAAAGTATTTTAAATTGGATAAAACATTCCAGCATCATGGATGACGTCGACTTGCAATTGAATTTTGCAATGTGTTTCGACCATTTCCAGCACAATGAGTCCACAAAAGATGAACAATACAAAACTCCACTCAACAGCAAAGACAATTCGCCCAACAATGAATCGGAAAGCATAGAAGTGGTGGAGACTCCAAGTAATCCATATAAAGGACCGCTTCAGGAGAGTACAATCAGCTCAGCCAGTACCAACAATACGGATATATGCGTATTGGATTCGCATTACGCCAATGACGACTTACATTTCTCCCCTGATGATAACATAGACGAACAGGAGTTCTTAGAAAGTGAAGAAGGGGACGAGGTCTTTCTTAGAGCAGTCGATGTTTCAGATGGCAACGGAGACTTCACTCTTCTTCGAAAGCCAGTCAAGTCAAGACGCTTGTGCAATTGCGATGAATCAACAGAGGTCCTTATGCTAATAAATTCGGAATACCACGGTAAACATAAGCCCACCTATTCTGGAACGGATTCGGATGTTGAGGTGTTGATGTCGGAAGAAGTTTTCGAATCCGACTGGTCTTCGGGAAACAATGATCACAAGGATGAGAAGTCATTAACCTTTGAAACAGAGCCAGATAGTAAATACGATGAGGGGGTAACATCAAACAATCAATTGTCAACGGATTCTGAGATATCTTGTGCGGAGTTGGATGCAAATTCTGAAAATAACAAATATGCGCATTTCGATAGAGCACAATTGCTACAAATTATACAACAGCAAGAAGAAAGAATTCAAGCGTTGGAAGCCACAGTTGAACAGTACCACAAAGCCCAAGAAAAATTATTTGAGCATGTCGATGCATTACGTTTAGAGCTGAATGAAATTCGTATTACACCGACGCAAAAGGGCAATGCCAACAAACCTGTGCAGTAAGGCACAAAAGATGAAGAGTCTCAACGCACTTTTAATATTATTGTAATTATTCTTAAGATTTACCCTACTATCGGAAAAGACACAGTCACTGTTTTTTATCTTTCTTATCTTACGTTTAAATGTATATAGATATACAAACTTGAAGATAAAATTATCGCTTCTGAAATATGTTAGTGCATTATATTGATCTATATTTGCGCTATCATATTGGTATAATATAGTATATATAGTGATCTCACAAACAATAAAGGTTTATTTTTGTCAAAATAAATTGTAGAGATTTATGAGTGGATCTAAGAAAAAAAGGGATATTCCCTTCAATTGCTTGACTTATGGGCGAACAGATATTCTTAGAAATGGAATTTTAAAGAGTTATGTAAATGCGGTACAGTGTTTACCATTCAGTCGATGCCCTTCCAGCTCATATCCCCTGTATTAATTTCCTTCTTCAATCAGAGTTGTATCTTATATACATACAGCCCAAATTGTCTTCTTCACTGCCTAGGCTGCCTAGTATTTTTTAAAAACAGAATGAAAATTAAAGTAGAATGAAAATTTCGTCCATCGAAATGTGCAAAAAAATGTTGTTTATGGTCTTAAATTTTCGACATGTTAGTATATTAACATAAAGTAATAGATCGCGATAACAATTTTGATCGTAGAATAAAGAAAACGTATTTATTTATAACTTTTACAAGAAATAAGCCATTCATTTATTTATTTATTTTCAATTTGTACAGAAACCTAGCCGATAGGTCCATGGACGGTTCCAAAAACTTCTATGTATCCTTCTATAATGTCCTTAATCTTAAAACTTACTTAAAATTAAACACTAAAACAAATTAACAAAATATGAAAAAATTAACAATTTATTGACGGTTCCAAGAACTCCTATACATGACTGCTCTAAAACTACTACTACTACTCATCTTTCGAATATAGTAATGGAGTTAATTTTACTATATATTTAATAATATATTACACAAGATGAATTGACAATAACATTGAAAGCAACTAAATTAAGATGTTTTTAATAAAGTTATGTATCCTCCAATGCATTAGCATGAGCACATACAATTTTAGGTTTTTTTGTTGTTGTTCGATTTAACGCTACGAATAATTTTCCGTTTTCATGACTATTTATAAACAAGTTTCCATATAGTATTGATCAATAATGTGTACCACATTCATATTTCGCCACAACAAAGTCTTGTGTGATTTTTATTTACCGCCGTCAGTTTCAATTTGATTAACACTGGCATTTCTGTTCGGCTTCATTCGCATATACACACACAAGGTAGAAGTCGTATTTTCGGTTCTCTTGAAATTAAAATCGTGAAAATAAAATAATATTGTGAAATATATAAAATATATAGAAAAAGAACAGACAAAATATTTATCACTTGCCAGACGCTGTATTAAAAGGTATGTTAAGCTGCTTTTACTCCACATGATGCTATTTTTAGATACATATCGGGCACAAAGACGGACGACGAGCTAACCTCAAATGCATTTGCTTCGCATTTGTTTTAAGACATTATTTTCCAAAAAATAAATTATGACTAATCTCTTGTTTTGGGAACAATATGTCGAATATTTTGCAAATATTGAAGGACAAATGCATATATATTTCCGGTACATAGTACGGTACGGAATATTATATTTAATTAAATCATTTGGCCCACCCTGAAGAAAAAAAATAACTCTTTTTTCTATTTTTTTTTATCAAAAAAACTTATATTTTATTTCCAAAATGTGGATTTTGCCACTGAATGTAATGTACGTACAACAACATTTTTGTTATACAGGGCTGTCAGAAGTATTCAAAATAAAAGTCTGCGGGAGTCGTCTACTTTCTGCTTGTCCTTTAACGAACCCTATTTGAAGCAAAATTTTTTCCATTGTACAATAAAAAGCTGATTACTATTTTTCTGAGTGTTCCCGACTCTGCCAATTTTGTGTTTGTGTTTTTCTATGATTTTAAAAAATACAAAATATATCAAAATTTATGATTGTTTGAAACGAACATTGAGGAAAATTTATTTGAGATCTTAATCAGTTTCTGAAAGAAAATCCTGGCATTAGATTAATTTGTCTTACATTTTAGTACATTTTAAAAATGGGAAATTTGTTAAATTTTGAATAATTATGAAAGAAGACAGTCTTAGTTTTAGGGCTGTATTTCAATAGTTTACCTGCTTATTGTTCCATGGTTTGTACAAACAGACGCATGAAACCTTCGAAATGTAGATCAGATAGAAACAACAAGTAAACCAAACCAATTGAAAGTACGGCTTCATCATATTTTCTCTCGAGACCAAAGTAATGCATTTAAACACGTTTTAATCAACATTATCTTCCTTTTTTAGATTCGACAAACAATCAGTTACTATTCGAGTCAAAAAATATGACTTCGACTCTATGTAAAATACACGTAAACAATTCAACGGGCGTATCTTTAAATGAACGTTTTACTGCCATAACTACGCAACCTAAAGTCACCGTTGCGCCTGCTCGTAGTCGTAGTCGAAGTGTTGAACGAGCAATGCCTCGAGTAGACCAAGCTACATCCCGAGCCAACCAACGTCTGCTGGCCGAACTACAGAGGAAACACAAATTACAAACTGCTATGAAATTGAAACGAGTACGTTTTCCAAATATATTTCTAAACAACCTAAATAAGCATACAACTACGGATATGCTCAAAATCCCATGAAAGAAAGTAACATTTTCTGCGAAAGGGATGTCTATTCTTTTGAACAGACAAGAATGAATTTTCCAAAGAAGATGAAGCTTGTTGCCTTAGTTGACCTAAATACCCAATTCTATTCCTACTTAAGAATGTTAAAGAGACAAATGATTTCCGAAAAACTCGTTAAGTACTTTTGATTCAAATTTCTAAGGGAAAGCCAGTGGGGTTTATTAAATGCTTAAGAATGCTGTTCCCAAAGCTGTAATTAAGGCCTATGATTTTCGTAAAGCATGAATCATAAAATTGGTATACCGACAAATAAATCTGAGGAAGAAAATCCAAAAAGAACGAATGTTATGTATACTCGACTGGAAGCTGAAACATCTCTAGCTCAATGAATACCCTTTATTGGACAAGTATCGATAAATATACAGCTTAATGTAGAAAAAAGAATTCACATCACCAACTGTTGCTTATTGATCAGGTCTTCGATTAGCTTAGTCAAGAGTTCAACTCCCATAGAGCTGCCACAATTAGCCCCTTCTGGAACCACAATAATTTAACTGTATCAACTGAGCTGGCGACTATCTTGTACATTGGAATCAACAATAAGATGTATGAATTCAAAAATCTACCTAAAGTTTGCCCATGAGTAATATATGATATGGTCTTAGGCCTGGCAATGAACGGATTTGCCTTGAAGTATTTTTTGATAATTCTCGCTTAATTGCCAAACCACACGCTGCTGAAGACATGTCGTGGTGCAGATTTGATGAAAAAAGTGTATATTCCACTTACCATGGGATTTTCGTGTAAAAATTTGTTGCCGCACGGGCTGATGGCAAGATTACGATATTTTTTAATCTACGAAGCCTTGGTTCCTAATCTACTACCTGTCGTTGGATGCAAATCGTCAGCAGCTACACGCCGTTATACCTGTGTGGCCACTATGAATCATTGGAAATATTGCTTCAAGGTTGTTCCTGTCCAATACTACCATTTCATGTCACTACATGCCGTTATACCTGTGTCGCCACTTGGAATCATTGGAAATATTGCTTCAAGGTTGTTCCTGTCAAACAGTACCATTACAACTTCACTACCTTGAATGCAGACAAGTTTTTTAACCACGAAGGAAGGAATAAATGTCAATCAAGTACGATTAATGCAAAACGACCTGTGCAACCGGAGGAAACAGTTCAGTTTGGATTCTTATTTTATAATTGCTTCCTCGTCCTAACAGCCTGGAAAACATGCTGAAATAATTAGGAGATGCAAAACGCATTGAGTGATCAAAATGTTAATAACGATATTGATGGCATCAACCAGCGCACTGCAGTTGTTAACACAGTTTACTGCATTTTCAATATCGGTTTAACTTCTTGAGTTTGTGGAGAAGGGGAATATAAGAGATTGAAGAATATATAGTCCATATTCTCATGCATGTAGCTAAATAAGACAAAACTAACGAGTAGTAATACCAAAGCGAATGCTTCCAAACAAAACGAATCAAATAGAATTGGGTTAGGTAAAGGCCAAGTAACTATAATGTTGACAGAGATGATAGAATGAAAAACTGTATGCGGACAATAAAGTCCCACATCCGGACATACTCTAGCAACACATATAATAAAACTCATATTTCTTCACACATTATTGCGTGTGAATCTTACAGAGAAGTATGCGAACCGTCGGTGGAGGAACTGGAGGCGGAGCATATGGGAGAATCAAACGTGGCAGCGTCAAAGCGCTGCGTGTTGGCGCCAACGGCAAGCCCATCAGGACAAATAGCCTGTCCAATATTGCAACGTAAGAACCAATTCTCTTTTATTTAACTTCTGCCACTACTAAACATGAAACAAGCGTACATTTCGGGAGATAATGTACAAACATTCCACAACATCCTAACATTAAATAGCTCAATTGAAAACAATCTCCCGCCTCCTCCCCGTTCATGGTTTATACACAAATACTAAAACATAAACAACAATTATTCTTCACCAAATAAAAAATAGGATGAATGCAGACCGAGAAATTTTAAAGAGACGTGCCTCGCCTGCACCCTTGCGTCGTTCGAATTCTTCGGGCAATTTAGCCAATCGATTGGGCCCAAGGCGCCCCGTTGTTGGTGGCGCAGCACAACGTGTTGCTAGAAGACGTATAGAGAGACAACGAGGTGGCGTTATAGATAATAGAGGCAGATCTTTGGTTAACGGCCGACGCCGTAGTCGTTCTCGTACTCGAATTCAAGAGAACGGCGGTCGTGGTCGTTCTCGGTCACGCCAAAATAATGGTGCGGCAGCAGCACCTGCACCACGTGGACGCTCCAGAAGTCGAAGTCGTAATCCTGTTCGTTCTCGCTCGCTGAGTCGTAACCGGGGTCGTGACACAGTTGCCAAGAAATCAGCTTTACCCATCAAAGCACGTTTGGGTGTGCGACCAGGGGAAGCTAACAATGCCCCAAACCAAAAAAATAGAAATAGACGTCGGACAGCTAGTCTATCAGTACGAGGTGTGCAAACGGGACGCATACAAAAACGACGTAACTCAGCGAACACGACAGCAAGAAGCAACGGTCGTCCACGATCCAGGTTAGTACTTTTTCTGAATATCTTTGCCGACGATTAACGATTAACTATTTTTTATTTTTTAGATCTATAACTCGTGCTACCAATGGTCAAAATCCACGATCTCGTTCACGCTCTCGCTCTCGGACACGCAAGGGTCAGGTAGGTCAGACAAGAAATGGACAAGGACAATCACAACAGAAAAAGGGCATAGCAAGGGGCCAAACACAACAGAGAGGAGGACGTGGTCAAGCTCAACCCAAAAGAGGTCGCAGTCAACAACGTCGCCGTGGTATTAACAGCGCCCAGAAAGGTAGTAACAATTCCAGCAGACGTGGTCGTAGTCGCAGCCGTACTGGAGGCCGAGGAGGTCAACGCTCTCAAGGTAAAAACGACCCATACGTGAGTAACACATTCCGTTTCGGATGATAACTAAACTGGCACGACAGGATAACAACAATTCCATAAAAATACCAACAAATTTCTCAGTTAATAGAAAATATGTTTCATTTTCCCCATTAGGTAAAACAACAAAGGAAGCAGTAAACAAAGAAGATCTCGATAAGGAACTGGATCAATATATGGCCACAACAAAGACTGAAAATGATATGGATTTTCTGTTGAAAAATTAAAAAGGGGCCACTATGCATAACATGCTGTTGGACGGGAGTCATCATATCAATATGGACATTTTTTCGGATTAGCTCTATTGATGTTTTTTCGCTCATAGTTGTAGCATTACACAATTGTCGTAGTTTTAATTCAAACACATTTTAAGATAACTATAAGGAATCATCTTTTTTAAATATACCCCATTTTGTCATTTAACTCCATATAATTTACTTGACTGTAAATACACCCACTTTTTAGAAATGTTCTGTTTGCTAGGAAAATTACTCAGCTTTTTGATAATTTGGTTGAAGAAAGGAGTGTTCAAATATGGAATACTTGAAATTAAAATACATCTAAAAATGTTAGTTATAGTATACTATACATATAAGTTGTAAAAATACAAATGATAAATAAAAATTAAAAAACTCAATGTATTTTTGTTGTAGTGTAGACATTCGAGACTTTTTCGAAATTTAAAAACGATGCAAATATGTAAGTTGTATTTTTGTATTTTTATAGGGAAATCGATAAATAGTTGTGTTGAAGCAACTTTAACAAATACTGAGTAAATATAGGTCAACTGCAACGAGAACTTACATGGTCTCGTGGGTACGGTTAAAATCCAAGTTAACCCCTTTGCATGACTATGTGACATTGTCTTAAGCCTTAAATGGGTCAAAAACATGTATAAACATGATATACATGAAATGCTTTAAAAAAGAGAAATAACATTGAATGATTTTAAGTTGTCGAATTATATACCCAATATATTTATTCTATTTCAAGTGTATTGTGTCAACAGAAATTACAGAGTTGTAGGGCATCACAAGGTCGACCTTTGATTACTTGTTTAATATTAGAAATGCACATTAATGCCGTGTTTCGGAGTGAATCGTGTGCAAACTCGGACAAATTGCTCTACTTAGATGCTCACACATTTTTATTTGTGTGTGTGTGTTGTGCATAGTAACCGAAGCGTGTGGGACGATGTAACATTAAACGAAAACCACAAGAAAATAATTGTCTCCTACTTTAAGGACATTCACTTGCCAATTGACAACGTTGAGCCAGTACCCATTAAGTACCGTACTATGACATTCTGCACTTCTCCAGTGTGTAACACATAATGGCGAACATCTTTGTTTATGCTGGTTTTTATTACTCAACCACTGGCCAATTGAGTCCTTGGCAAATAATGGAATGTTTACTGTTATTGGCGGATAAACATGTCTAATTGATGGCATTCCGTCTCAGTTTCTCACATTTGTCTTGTGTGACGATGTCCCTGCAACCATTAATGTTAGCTAAAACTGAGGGCAATTCTAAAGCTGCTTCAATTCCGGGCGACACATATATATTTAAGTATATAACATCTGTGTGTGAAGAATGTGCGGCGCCCTGAATACATTTTAACACTGGATATGTCGCTCATTTACTCGAGGAGTGTCACATCTCAAAAACATTAAATTTTTATAAAAATTCTTATATGCATAGATCACTGTGCACTATGTCAGCGCAACATCAAACATGGTTGAAATATCGGGGTTTTAATACCTGTGTCAGGATATTCGAAAATGAAAACAAACACGTGTTTTTTATAATTTTAAAATCAACATTTATTTTAATTTTTTTATTCATACATTATTTTTAGGTTAGGTTGAATGGTACACCCTGTATTTTCGACACTACTACAAACATATGTGTGTATGTATTTACGACTACTTAACTATAATGTAGGTACTACCAGATGCAGGGGATGGACACCACTCTTAAAATAATATTTTTGTTAATTGAGTGAATTGAGCGAATAGACGAATAGCGAATGGAATCTTACAGAATGAACGACCTCTATAGATAAGACAACTTTTTAGTCTACACCTTTGTTTGTCTATGACCCTTGTCTATACAAATTTCCTGGATGCTGTATTTTTGCTCAAGAGCCCTGACCTGACATTATTCTAGTGATCTTTTTTTTTTTACAAAATTTACCATTTACTTTTCGGGAAATTTCAAAAAGAGTTAAAAACGTTGCATTGACTTGTATACATCTGACGGATGTTTGTGTATGTGTGCCCATCCCTGCAATAGGCGACAGTTTATTTTTCTATTTCTTTAGTTTAATCTTAAGCAAATCTTCTTTACAATACTTAAATTACTCACACATATGTAAACTTATAACAACACATAGCTTAGATTGTTTAAACAATTACTTAGGCCTACATTTTACAGATTTCGTAAATCAAATGGAATAGAATTTGTATCATTTCTATATTTACAATACCGTGCGATACATACTTCGGTTAGTGAAACGTAATTCATTCTTTGCTACTTTCCAAGAACCGATGCAACATTTATTGCTTTTGAAATGTATCCATTGTCCTCAGTATACCTGTGTATGCATAAATTCACAACATAATCCTTATGAATGATATATGTTTATGAATTTATATGTATGGATGTTTGAGTGTTCCGCTCCCTTATTTACATCACTCTTGGTGTTTTTTGGCCGTTAAGCTTCACCTGTCAACGGCAACATCAACATTCATCATCAGTTATGGTGTAACTGCCACGAAATTCGCTTAATGGTGTTGCCACATTGCCACTGGACGAGGAGTTGGTGGGGCCAGCCGCCATTAGGGGAGCGCCCTGGAATGATATGGCCAATGGCAAGGCGGAGGGTGCACACAAACTCAATGCACTGCGTCCTTCGGTGACCGAACGATAGCGAGTTGGGCGGCCAGATCTGCAATGAAAAAAAAAATACAAAACCGGTGCATGCATTAGTAACCAGCAATAAATGGAAGTTCTTAAAAAAGCAACAGCGACAACAACGTCACACTCAATGGAAAACAATCCCTCTTACCTCTCACAGTTACACTTGAGCAAACGTATAAATGCCGCCCGGAACGTTCGATTGAATATTGTATATATAATGGGGTTAATGGTAGAGGATACGTAGCCCAGCCACAGGCAGGTATTGACCACATGCTCGGGTACCTCGCACTCGGGACAGGCGGCAAAGATTATATTCAATATGAAGAACGGTGACCAGCACAGAACGAATGTGAAAAACACCAGACCCAATACTTTGGTAGCCTTCTGTTCGGTGGCAACTGCATTGGCGGAGAGGCTGTTGCGCTTGTTACGATTGTTGAGGAAGCTGCAAGAAGAACAAAAAACAAGCATTTTACGTGATATATTTGTGGGAAATGTGGGATATCGGAAGAACTTCACCTAGTGGAATAACTTGTTAAAATGCAACAAAACTAAAAATGCAACATGTAAAAAAGCTGTGAGTTCGGCCGGGCCGAACTTTAAATACCCTCCACCATTTTTTCAAAAAAGTAAAATCCGTTAAAAATTCTGTTAAAATCTTGGAAATACCGAATGTAGCCGTTATATGTGGACCTGCATAGGCCACTTTTTTCAAAAGCCATTACAATACTCAAATGCGAAACTTTAAAAAAATTCTATTTATAATGTCGCTAAAATCATTAAAATACCGAATATCAGGAGGTACCGTTATATGGGGCCATACGAAAACGTGGACCTACACAGACAATTTTCTGTCATAGGCTGCAGTACCTACTACGAACTTCAAATACGAAAATTGAAATAATTCCGGTAATTAATGTCGATGAAATCATGAAAATACCGAATTTTGGGAAGTACTGTTATATGGGGGCTATACAAAAACGTGGAACTGCATACAAAAAATTTTGTCATAGGCTGCAGTACCCATTACGAACTGTAAATATGAAATAATTTCGGTAAATACTGTCGCTAAAATCATAAAAATACCGAATATCTGGAGGTACTGTTATTAAGAGCTATACGAAAACGTGGGCCGATATGGCCCATTTACGAACTTAATCTGCCCACTGGTAAACTATGCATGTATTCAAGATTTTAGCCTTCTATCTCAATTCGTTCGAAAGATAACGTGATTACAACAGACAGACGGACAGACAAATCGATATCACTAGATCGTCTTAGAATTTTATATGCTTTGTAGGGTCCATCATGGTACAATAAGGAGGTAGAATAGCTTCGTAAAACTACAGAAATACAGTCCTGATGCCCGCTTCTTGTTAAATTTTTCATGCAAGAAGTTGTTTTCATTCATTCAATATTTTTCCTCATTTTTAAAATCAGTTAAACAGCGGGAAAAATGAATAAAATGCCTAGATTTTCTTTCAAAAAATATGATCTAAACAGTTCTATCTTTCAATTCCATGAAAAAACTGGCGAATAGCTCGCAATTTTAATACGCGTCAACTTACCGTAAATTTATGGCGGGCGTTGCAACTTTATTGAAATTAAAACGAAATACTTTCAGTCTTCGATTTCGCCTCGTTTCACGGCTAATTGAAGTTGGCGTTTGGGTTCCCTGTTCGCAGGTTCCATTGAAATGATGCTGGTGCTGATGCTGTTGTTGTTGTTGCTGGTGCTGATGATAGTGGTTGCCCATATTGGCCATACCAATTGTTGCAATACCCATTCCCTCGCCGTGATCCATGCCATCGTCACGTCGATTACGACGTAATGAGAAACGCAAAGGTTGCATTGTCGTGGCGAGACTCGTCCCCTTGCCACTTCCTTTGCTGCCGAAGAATTCCAGCTGGGATTTGTTGTTGGCACTCGCAATGCGCACCGAGGAGCGGCGGTTTGGATGGCTGTAAATTGAATTAGAATTTTATTGCAATTGTTAGGTCATTTGTATTTGTTGTGTAAAATCTAGACTTGCAGGGGTTGGGGTGTGTATTAGGTGTGGTTGGGGAGAAGGGGGTGTTAAAATAATACTTTTCTAAATCAAAAAAGCCGCTTGAAATAATTATCAATTGAATTCATAAGTGATTCTATAAGGCTCTATTAGACGAAATATTTTTGACATATGCAATGTTAAATTTTCCACATGTAGTAGCGGTTGCACATATCGTATTATACATGGACGATATTTCCGCAATTTTGACATAGGTACACACGGATAATAAAAATGACAGCATATATGTAAAACCCATTTCGTCTGATAATACCTTTACTGCAACAAGCCGTATTTCCATCCATGGTAGAAATAAGAAGGTTATCTTGTGGAATCATTTGTCTATATTTTTTCAAAACTATTCATTTGAGAACAATTCATTGTCAAAATATATATTTATATATTGTATGTACACGAATCATGGGTTACACATAAGAAGAAGCACCCAAACGCCTTTGCATCCGAGCCTTAGGGAACTAGAACTGTACTTCTTTGTTCCTATTGTTTAGGCTGAATACAATGCATAGCTGGTAGCTGAGTTTAGTACTTGTCACATGGTTTTCGCGGCTGAACATCTTCACGGGTGGAGTGTTGGTAGAAAATCTTTAGCACAGACCTCCCATAATTTTCTATTGTGGACGCGGAATTTATTCTAATATCAAATGTTCTATTTTAGTTTTTTTTTTTTTACATTTAAATAGTATTCCCCATCCTAATGTGGCGAGTTAATAAACTCGTCCCAGCAATAAACTGTTAATGCAAAAATGTAATTGCGTTCGCAGATTGCCAAGGCAGCTGTGGAATTTAATTCCACGAACATGGAGAAGAAACAAGAAACGCCTCCATCAGCTAGAGGAGAAAATTTTCTGCCCAGAAAGTCATGCGGCAGAAGGAAATCTGATGTAATCGTGTAAATGATGTTGGTGTTTCTTGAAAACCACAAAGAAAACTTTTAAATGGGTCAAAATCAATTAACTTCACTTTTCCGAAAAAAAGCAAAAAAAAAAAAAAAAAAAATGAGGAAGGAAGACATTTTTATATTTCTTTTCAATTAAATGTTGGCAGTGTTTACTTGGGAAATTGCTTTAAACATGTGTGAGTTACATTTTGTTTTGTTTCGTTTCCACTCACGCAGGGTCATGTGCATAAGAAAAGCAACTTTTACAAAATGCATAAACTTTCACTAGGGATGTATAGCTTCTATTCTATCAACTATCTGTAACCCCATACACTTGGAGACAGCATCATGCCATAGACCATCAAAGGAAAACAATGTTCCTCCTCAAACCACAAAGCCGAGTCAAGTTTTTAAAATAGACACGAAAATGATTTTAAAAACTTAAATTGTTTCAGACCAAAAGGAAATAGAAACGGGAGGATGATGAAATAGAAAACTAACGATAAGTGCTTTTATTGACGAGTGTGGCCTCCAATTGTGGGAAATTGTCTCATTGTTGTTATTATTATGATTCCTTTTGAATCCATGATCCCCATCTCCTTAGTCTGCCCAGCTTTGTTGTTTCGTTTTTCATTGATTTCGGGGACCAAACCAATGGCCCAATGTTTATTTACTGTTTTTTCTAACGTTTTCCATTAATATTTTAGATATGGCAATGGGAAACAGACATCATGGGTATGTGACGTCTCATCCTTTTATTGGATTTCATCCATTCTAAGCCAAAAAAAGAAGTGATGTTGTAAACCTTAGTTTTTAGCCTTGAATCACTTAGACTACCAAAACCAATTAGTTTTTAATGAAATTAGGTGTGCCTGGTAAATTTTAATGCAGAAATTATGCAGCAATCTCTTTCGGAGAGTAATGCAGTTTTACTCTCTTTTGCAAGAAAACTGTGAAAAATAAACAGACGAAATCCCTGCAAAAACTTGCAAGCAATCAGCTGATTTGTCAGAAATTAAAAATGAACCGAAAAAAACAAGTAATGTTCGATTATTTAAATATATTCTGACTTCTGTTATGATAATTCAAATCGTTGACCTTCTATGGTAATAGGTCCCGAGGGAATGGGTCAATATTGTCCATTCCGTATCGGTTCTAAATAAATATTATTATTAATATTAGTTTGTATGTGTGAAATTTTAAGAGAACCGGATGCTTATTTTAGATTTTATAATTGTTTTGGTTATTCAAAACATTGACCCTTTGTGGGGGAGGTACCAGAAGGAATGGTTCGATCTCTACCATCTTGTGTTGATGAAAATATCGGGATATACCAAGTCTGAATGCAATCGGGTGTTAATTTCGAGTTTTATGAGCTTCATGAATATTCAAAATTTTGACCCTTTGTGCGGGAGGTACCACAAGAAGTGGGCCAATATATTCCATCTTCACAACAGATCTTGTGTTAATAGAAATAATAGGATGTGCGAAATTTAAAGACAATCGACCACTAACATCACATTTTATCAGAGTTATAATTCAAAATTTTGACCCTTTTTGGGGGAGGTACTTGATGGAGTGAATCGGTACTATCCATTTTCCAACCTAACCTATCACAGACGCTAATATTAGGATTTACAAAGTTGGAATAAAATCGGATTATCGTTTCTCTTTCTGTGCAGTAAAACATTTGTTTTAAAAAATTTGGACTTTTTGTGGGAGAGGTACTAAAAGTTGTGGATCGATATTGCCCAACTTCGAACTCGATCTAAGTTTGATAATAATATTACGATGTACCAAGTTTGGCCCAAAGATACCTAGGGTTGAAAACCGTTATTTCAATGAGGCACGTTTTGGCCGTATTAAATATGCGCTTGTGATTTCCAAACTAAGAATGTTTTTAAATCTCTTGTTCAAATATAAATCACCGGAAGGAGAAGAAGGCGAGCTGCAAGTGATTGCAAGAAGAAATTTGTCCAGCAAGAATATGCAAACTCTCAGTGAAATAATTGTCCAAAATTGTTCTCTAAAATCGCTCTCTTTGGCAGAATTTTTGTGTCAATAGACGACTTCCAGTAACGAATTGCAGTAATCGTTACAAATTTTGGGGTTATCAGGTACACCTATTAATGTGGTCCACACGAAAAAAAATCAGCTTAGTTGGAATTGTTTTGACACGGTAGAAAAGTAGGAAACTTGGAAAATATTAGAAATTTGGGAATAACATCATCGACCATAATAAATATATCAACACCTCTATGTGCGGCATTTTTTCCCAGATGCTTTCCAATCGGTTACAAACCAAAATTGCCCATTGCTTAAAATGTGGCCAGATCCTTCTAAGTACCAATTGTCCTAGGGGGTGAATATTTTCTCTCTCTCTCTCCCTTAATAACTCTGTAACTCATTTTGTTCGAATGGTCTACCTTTTAAACATGGATTTAAAGTCAAACCAAGAACGTTCACTGCTACAAAAACTATAACTCATTCCGTGGCGAACATCCAAAATGAGGCAGATATCGCTGTTAATTACAAAACTGTCTAATATTTCGTTTATATATTTTAGACAATTCTTTGTTCGGATAATGTGTTTACATGAAAACAAAAACTGAAGGTCTGTGCCATGGAATTGTCTTCAACAATCGGCATCGTCACCGGCATCAATGTCAAGGTTAATTTGTTGTTTGTGAAACAAAACCTTTTAGACAGACACATCACAGTTAATGTTTGAATGGTTATTTGTTTTAGTTGTTGTAGTTTGTTCTTCTACTTCTTCTTCTTTTTTCCAAGGAATAATTTTGAGCCATCGTTATGATTACTTTTGGCCGAAATTGTTTGGCAAATGTTTGTTTGGTTGGCTGTGTAATGGCGGATGGTGATGATGGTATTACCCAAAAAAATTGCAAAAAATTAATTGCCAGAAATATCTGTTGGACTTGTGAATCATTAACCTTGGGCTTGTTTATTAAAATAAAAATTCAAAAAGGAATAAATTCAAATCCCCTTTTTTTGGTTAAAATTTAAATTTAGCCTCTCCCCCAGCATTGTTCTCGATGGTGGCTCATAAATGTTCAAGGGTCATAAAAATTCCATTCAAAAATCCCAATGACCATTCGAAATGTTGTTGCTGCTGTTGTTGGTGTCAATTTCAACTGGCCGTTTCGCCATTAAATCACCATTCAAAAGTCTCGAGTATTTGGCAATGTTCAACATCTGTCATCCTGTAAAGGAAACCCATAAAAGGGTACAAGTGATGGGAGCACACATACAAATACATACTGATGCGAACGAATGTTTGTGTGCAGGGGTTAGCGAAGTGGAGTCCAACATCATGTAGAACACTTGTTCGAAAAAAAAAACAAAAACATTAATCAAATTGATTGCATATTTTAAGGCATTGTTGATGGGGGGCATTTGTATTTTATTTACATGTGTGTGTGTGTGTGCGAATGGACGATGGGCTCACGTACACAATCAGGCAAGTTGTCATCACTTTAAAATAAATTTACCAAAGAAGTTGTGAAACTTAATTTCTCTAACAGAAACTCCAAATAGAATCGAATGGGGATAGGGACTATATGCCTCTTTATGAGATGATGAATACTCATAGAGAAGATGAGAATGTGGTTGAATGTCTTGCTAGTTTTTATAGGATTATAAAATGAAGAGTATATAAAAATGTGCCACTATTAGCCCTACTAATAATGGCAACTACATTACCCTTAGCATTACCAGTAAAGACAGAAATAATGAGTTATTCCCATAAAATGTACGTGATAACTAAACTTATTCTTAGTATCAGTCGGCTTTGCCGACATGTTGTGTTATATTTCGACTTGTGATATGATTATTCAGACTGTTGACCATTTATAGGGGAGGTTCTGAAGGAGTGGGCCCAAGTACGTCCATCTCTCTATGAGAGATATGTGATAAATTTTGGAAAATGTTGTGATGTTATTGTTAAAAAATATTGGAAAGTGCATAATTAAAAGAAAAAAGAACATGTATTTTCCTTT